AGCCCATCCAAAGGGACAGTATGAATAATACAACCAGCGATTTATTGTCGTTTTGGTTAGGCAATCAGGTCGCAAATCGGGATCTCGCTATACATAGGGTAGAACGTTCCAAACCTCGGCAAGCGTTCGCGCTTTTGGTCGCGCTTGTTTTCAACATTATATAAAGAGACTAGGTTTGATTTCATTTTCGTTCACACCGCGTACCCCTGATTTGTACGCAAATTTTATTTATGACAATGGTGAAGAAGGGTCGAACACCAATAAAATTAGCCTCCATAGTTCAACAGTAAAATAGTATATCGGTATTTTGCCATGTTCGATAATTGTTCGTGAATCACAGACCTAAATCAATATTTATATCGACATGTTGGAAACATTGCTTGATCGAGCATGTTGTCCAAACTTGTAAGCCGTACTCTGGGCGTTGTATGTATGAAGCACAATTTTGACGGAAAATGATACATTGAGTAATTAATTACACAGCAGAAAGTTAAGATGAACATATGGTTAAAAAGAACATTATATTTTATTTCGTATTTTGTTTGTCATTTATAATGCACTTACGTTTCAAATATATCATTATTAAACAGAAAATCGTAGTTTGTTTTGTTCAAAGCAGGATCATGTATAAATGAATGTAACATTTGTGACGTTCGAGAGCATTGTTATGGCCAATCTACCATAATTAAAAAAATATTAAAATTATTAAAAATTAAAAACATATATATTAAATTATTAAACATTATTATTATTAAATTATTGCGAACGATTCTGTAGTTTGCTGACTGTGGTCAAAATGCTGGGATATTTTTATTTTCCTGTTGGAAGGATTAAGTAATAAATGTTTTAAATTAGGCTGTCGGGGGTGGCTAAACATTGTGAAGAAATTCGTAGTATATTTGCTGAATTGTGAGGCTAATATCCGTATACAACCATGAACAAGATGTATTTTGTTCGAAAATAAATACATGATGGCCATTTTTAATTATAGACGGTTTATACCTTGTCCAAATTCATGTTTTTACATGGCCAAGTGTGACCTACTATGCTATCAAATGCTAGGTCAAAAAATAGTACGCACATTGAACGAGAAATTGTTGACCTCATGTGCTATATTGCGAACACTTATTGGTCAGTTGAAAACCTCCTGTCATATCTCGTATATTAGAACGTTTTCCAAAAAAAACGCAGTTGTGTCATTTAAGCGTTAGACAAATAACATATTTTCCGCTTCGTGTGATGCTGTTATATTGGCCTAGCAACCGATTGCTAGTCACATGAAACAGGTCAAGCTTTGATTCAAAATGGCACTATATTGCGAGTACGCCAGGTACCGGGCGTTACATTCCAGATGGATTTCTTGTATCTGTTCCACGTTTTCATTGTCCAACTATATGAAGAATATCCTTCTTGCAGGCCCTTGATGAAGACACTGATTTGTTACGCCATGATCCTAAACATAGTTAAACTCTGGTGACATTGCCCTTTGTTGTATAATTTTTTCCTTTATCATTGTTTGTGTCAATATGAATATGCATTGCCACAATTGTTATTTATTACAAACAAGTTTTAGGATTGAAACAGCAGTGGGAAAGCAGTCTATCGAATGACCTTGAATGATGTAAATATCTTACAAAAATATTGGTGCCTAATTTGTTTACTTATTTTTAGGAACATAATTTTTAGCCTTATTCAAAGTAATTCAGATATTTTAGTATAAAAACAACTGCTTCATTTCAGGAAAAAGTGCTGCGGTTACACGTGAATCGATCCAGAAAACATTCAAGATAACCGAAAATGTTAGCTGGCTTTTGCCCAAGTATTTTGTACAGACGTCTGTCAAAAATACTTAACAAACTTTGTTGCAATTTCACCGATCCTTTGAGAGAACCTGTTTACTCTAGTGTTTTCAGTAATGATGCAGAATACGGCTTGCCCGATGCCTTCAACCATTCTGTGCTAACACTATTGATAATGTGAGTTATATTCTATTAGCCAAAATATCTACTTAAAATTTTTAAATTACAATATCATGCAATTTTATAGCATAATGTCCACTACAAAGCAGAATACCTTTATAAGGTATTTTTTCATGCATAATAAATTCAAGTATTAAAACTGATATGTGGCTGGTGGTGACTTAATGTGGCAAATAACATAACATGCTAGTCGCCACAGTGGCTAATGATTATCATGACCAAGCGCAAATAGTGCTATTTTGTCATCGATCTTACTATAACCGGGAGAAGTTCAGAATCTACAAATCGTTCGAAGATTTCAAATTATGTTGCGACGGCAATTTCCGAAACAACTTCACTTGGTTCCACGTCGACCCTATTTTTCGCGATTCGAGTATAATGCATTCAACAC